CAGCGCCTGCCGCGGCGTCACCAGCCTGCGACGGCCCCGCCCGGCGCCGCCATGGCCGCCACGTGACCGCGGAGCCGCCGCGTGACGCGCGCGGGAAGGGCCGGCCCGGCCGAAAGCGCGGGCGGACAAAGGGAGGCGGCTGCGCGCATGCGCGCGGGGGCGGTGCGATGATTGACAGCTCGGCGGGGGGCGGTGCGAGCGGCTCCAACGGCCGTTAGCGCGCGGGAGGGGGAGGGGCGTCCCGGGGGTTTTCTTGTTTCTTCCTTTTTTACTTTTTTTCCCCCTTATTTTAACATAGTGGCGGCCAGTTGGCTCTTCATCCCGCCCCGGCCGGGCATAGCAGGAGACGATAATGTGCCTGCAAATCTAATAGTGTGCAACTGGCATCTTCCAMAGTAAAGTTACTGAGCAGTTACTTTAGATGCAACTCTGTTTAGCATTTTATTTACTAAGCGCAGAAAAAGTAGCAGATATACAGTCTTATCTCGTAAGGAAATGAGACTTGCATGGCTGTGTTGCCAGCCTGCAGTTCTGGTTTAGAATCTTAGAATCATAGAATTGTAGAATCATAGAATCCTTATGGTTGGAAAAGGCCTTCAAGATCACAGAGTCCAACCATAAGCCCYTCAACCCCATGCCTGTTAAACCACCTCCCTATGTGTCTTCATTAGGTCTGAAACTTCTATTCTCAAGCTTGGCAGAGAGGCAAAGTGTCACTTAAACTCAAATTGTTTTGTTAAATTCCGCCCCCCACCCCGGATAAGGGAAAAGTGACTCCTGTCAGTGTCTCCTGGACCTCACACCCTTTGGACAGGAGGACATCACACAGCAGAGATGCAGGAAGATAGATTTCAATCCATACGCTCATCACAACACACTGTGTTTAATCCTGCTGCAGAGCACATGTCATGAGCAGTGTGACAATTATACAGACCATAAATTGGAAACCAAAGAGGAGATTTTATCTTGCCAGCCAGTGACTCACAGAGACTTGGAGGGGGAAGAGAGGAGCTCATGATCAGCTGAACATGAGCTCATGGTGTGCTGTGGATGCTAAAAAGACTAATGCAGGCTCTGCACAGCACATGGAAATACTGCGTAGGAGGAGAGAGGTGACTTTATCTCTGTGCTTGGCACCACGATACTGCTATTAGAGAAACTTACAGTTCAGAAAGTCCATGCAAAATCTGACAGGTTCAGAAAGGTCTGGGAGAATGATCTAATAACTGGAAAAAAAAAAAAAAAGGAAGAGGACTATGAGAGGAGACTCAGACATATGTTGATTTATTTTGCCCTTTTTTAGAATTATTTTGCAGCTGCTGAGATTAGTCCATAAATGACTATTTTAGTCTCTGACCTTCTCTTTCACCTCAGGAGCTCCATCCTCTTTATAAATTCCCTCATTTTATGAAGTTTTCCACTATCTCACCAAGCACTTCCTCTCTTTTTCCTATAAAGCCCCTAAGTTTTCCTTAGGGCTATAAAGCCCTAAGTTTCTCCTAAGATGCTGGGAAATATCAAAGTGACTGAGTTTGGGAGTTTTTTTTCTGGCCTTGTATGAGGAAGGAGAGTAATTAACTGTCATTGCCAAGGAAACTAAACAAAATACCAGCCATTAGGTTAGAGACTCCAACCCCAGTCTATTCCAGTTTTGAAAGACTTTGGAGCTGGGAATTCTTTACCCAACTACACTCTGGATCTTTGCAGAGTGCATTAGGAAGGGATTTCTCCCAGAAAACTGGCTTTTGCTGCACGGGTTTAGCATCCACAGCTCTGTTTCACTGCACGTTAGAGATGAGATTGGAAGCTATTAAACAAGAGCCATAGCTTGGTTCTCTGCTAGCACACAGCATATAGTAGCATGCTAGGATATAGCATGAAGTACTAGCATTATTGTGAAGTATGGCAAGATGGGCATGCTAGAAATGAGACTTGCTGAGGCCAGGTTAGTAAGGAAATAAACACTTTACAGTAGGTCTGACCTGTGACAACATCACAAATCCATGCACTTCCAAGGCTGGAAGGGAGCTGCTGCTCATTCGGGATGAAGGCAGCTTGGCTCAGGCAGCACCGTCTGTAGCTCCACACGATATCTCTTATGGCACACTCAGTGTTCACTGCACTGGGAATATTCCTTTGCAATGAATGTGGGAGCTCTCGAGGTTTAATTGTGTTTGTGCCTTGGAAGCTGCTGTGCAATGTGCTGCTTGTTTCTGCCTCACATATGATAGCCGTGTGTGTTGGGTTGTTTTGATTTGGAAATATTTTCTGTAGCTTGGAAAACATCAGTAAATATTTTACAGATTTGTTGTTGTTGTTGTTATTGCCTTGATGAGAAAAGCACTGGAACAAAATCTTGTGATACCTGCTCTGATTGTACATTGATTTCCTGGATTATTTTCCTGTGAGATTGAAATTCAACATATACTGTATGATGGATCAGCAGAGCACTTGACTCACAAACACATCCCACTACCATTTTTTTATGATTTTCCTCTTTTGAGATCTGAGCTCACAGTGAGTAGGGGAATGAGGCAGGAGGAAAATCCTGGCAAGACGGTGACTGTGTTGGAGTCACCATTTTCAGCAGCTGAATGTTGGGCTCAGTCCTGAGGATTTGGGGGACTATTATAAGGGAAAAAAGAGAGGGAGGAAAAAGATAAGGGAAATTCAGTGCCTTGCGGGCAGGACTCTGCAAAACATGCAGCCCATCAGGGGCGCTTTGGTGGCTGCAGTCAGGGCACAATTGAGGACACACAGAGGGAAGCTGCAGCTGGCACTGAGGAAAGGCAAAAATCCAAAACTCTTAACCGCCCAAGCTGATGGAGTTCAGCATGGAGAATAAAAACAAGCACATTACATCTACTGGCAGATAGTACAACTCCCTTTTAAAACTAATGAGATGTTTTTCTGTCTCTTTTGTGGTCCTGTGCAGGCCAAAGTGTGAGCAGGGGCTGAAGGGCAGTTGTCAATGCAGGGATAAGCCCCGAGTCCAACCCTGCCTGTAAAATGTCTGCAGTGTCACTTGCTTCTTGATCAGGGTCTGCACTGGCACCACAAGGGCAGGTTCCTGGAGGGCCATGATAGTTCTGCTTTCTGTCCGTGTACTGATTTCCTAGAATTTGTAACTTAAGGCAGAAGTGAGGCCTTGAGCTGGACAGGCAGTTTGAGGAGCAACAGGAGTGGCAAAAAATAGCTGTACATAAACCTTCCTCTGCGTTAAATCATGCAGTAGCACCTGCCTGTGAAACTGATGTCTCAGAAGCTCCAGACACCACCTTCATGTAATATCAGCAAAGAAAGTGTGATTTTTTACACAGGATTTTTTGTGCATTCATCAACACACAAAGTTTATGCATCAACAACTGTTGGAGCACTGACTTGCATATGTGAATGTTAGTTAGACACACAAATAAAATAAAATAAAATAAAATAAAATAAAATAAAATAAAATAAAATAAAATAAAATAGTCAAAGCTCAAAATTAAGAACTTCCTTTTGCGAAAAAGATGAAGAGAAACCAAAAATAAAAAACTCCCAAGAGGAAACCTGTACTACTAATTCATGTATATGGAGAGGATATAATGTATATATTCTTCAGTATAAAAGATTACATAATATGTGAAGTCTATTTTATAATATTATATAATGTATTTTCAGTAGATGACCTAGCTTTGAAGACCACTGAGATTGTATGTCCATAATCTTTGTTTTACTGCAGAGAGAAAGGGTGGCTGGGAAGTTTTGCAGAAACTGATGGAGCTCATGTGTCCATGGAAATTCTCTCGACTGGTGTGAGGAATTTTCATATGACTGCATGAGAAAAAGGAATATAAGAACGTGCCCCTCTGCTTCCACTTCTGAGAAAAAAGGCCTCTGTTCATTTTAGATAAACTCCCATTCAGGAACTCTTTTATAATATTCTAATTGCTTAATGTCAATATATATTTCCTTTTCTGTTTGGTGAGAACATSACAGTTTTTTTCAGAAAGTGGAGGTATTTTTCCTTTCTCTAAGGAGATTATTAAATATTATAGTTATAACTATATTCTATTAGAATATAATATAGAATACATCTCTATATTTGGGGAAGGACAGGATGTCTTATTCAGTCTGTATTTCCCATGTAGAATTTGGTTTGTTTTTGTGTACTTAGGGAAGGATTCRTTGATACTTTACATGCTGTGAAAAATTTGCAGTGGAAAAATAAATGTGGTTACAAATGGCTTTTTCGTTTCTCTTTCTGAAGAATTTTAGCCCAATTTTATCTTTATTTTATCATGATACATATTTGCAATATTTTTTAAGGATGAAACTTAATGAATTCTGAATTTTAACCAAATATTTATTCTATGTAATAGAGCTTTTACATGTTGTATTTTCCCTGGATTTTTTGGTAGTTGGATGATGTTCATGCATTAAAACCATTCAATCTTAAAAGTAAACTCATAGACTATTTTAGCAGGCACATGGACTAATCTGGATATTTTGCTTTAAAATATGCTGAGTGAGATGAAAAAGTGAAGCTGAATCAAAAATCTGTGCCACTTGTCTCTGAGAATAGGTACCAGCTTTGGTCTGCATCTCATAACCGTAACGAACCGTTACTTCTGCAACAATCTGCAGTGGACTAATCCTCATCTTCAGTTTGCTCTTCAGAACGACCAAATGCTTCTGTGTGCGGCCACTTAGCAGGAAGTGTGACCTCATTCTGCCGCTGTGCTTCTGATTGCACAGTCCCTTTTCAAAGGGAAACAAGGGACTCTGCAGACCTGCCTTTCCGAAGCCGCGGTGCTGGTCTCTTCCAGGAAGCTGCAGAGAGAGCAACCTGCAGTTACCTCCCAGACTTGTTGCTGAGAAACCTTTTTGCACCTGTTTGTTAATAGTGAAATGGATTTTCCAGGTTTGGAAGATTTTACACGTATTTCTGTTTTAATGTGTTGGTCAGCTAAGGAGGAACTAACTTTTGGCTTGAGTTACATGCTGCTTTTAGGAAGCTGAATCTTTTGGTGTTTCAGGCATTCCAGAATTTCAGAACAATGAGTATTTTGACTTAAGCTTTGATTTGAATTCTTGACATAAAAAAAAATATTGCTGCTTTTGTCTTAGATTTACTTTTAGTGAGATTTCTGAAAGGTGTTGACTTTTTGTTGTGCCTTACCTTAAAAGTTCTGTACTGATGTTCATTTTTGTGCTACAAATATCATCATCATATGTTACTTAAATACACAGTGATGATTGAGATGCATTGTTTTCGCTTGCTTACATTGTTACAGCATCTCCTTACTCTATAGCACAGAAATGCTACTGATTATTAAATATAAGAAAAGTGTGCATGTGTATACAGCATGATGCTTACATGCTTCCTTCAGTGTTCTTGCTTATCTAACTATGATTTTCAAGAATCCTGTTCACTAATGTATGAACAAAAATGTTCACAACAGAGGTAAAGAAACAACCCATTGGGCTGCCTGTTAAGTATATGATTGCTCATAGAAGCTTGAATTTAGCGTTACTTAAAATGGTTCAGAAGCAATTTGTGTAAACACACCACAGATAAAAACGTTGCACTGCAAATTACAACTGCTCATATACTGTTCTTCCAGAAACTCATCACCTCCCACTGGTATATTTACATATGTATGCTATCTCTCACTTTCTATCATAAACATATACTGTTTTATCTTAAGTTTTACCTTAGTAGATGGCAGCAGATAAACAAGAGTCCTCCAAAGACATAACTCACTTGTAAATATGTGACAATTCTTGTGAGAAATGGAAAAGTTGTGGTTTATTCTCTCACTTTGTTCTGTATATGTCAATACTTTCTAGTGAAAGCACTGTCAATATGTGAGCTGTTCTCCAAAGTTTTTCAAGGGTTGCTGTATTACCATAACTGAGAAAATAAAGTGCAATATAATTGTTACAGGTTTCAGTAGCTGAGAAGAACTTTTACCCTCAGATTATTAAACAATTGAAGTCAATTTAATTGATGCTGAAACTTCTTCTTTTTTTCAGACAAATCTGCCCTGAAACAACATAGTTTTTGCCTAAGGGGGAATATTCACTGGACTATAATATATCTAGAAATATGATACATATTCATGATTATATCTTAATGTAGATTGATTTAGAAACAAAATAAAATAGACCTGTCTTTCTTTTCAAAATCTTTCACAGATTATCTGTTATCCAAAGGTGAATGAAGCAATCCTTTCCAAGATGCCTGGAATATCACCCGTTCTATCGACACCAGTAGCAGGTAAATACAAACATATTTGTCTGATCTTTTGATGAAAACATTGTGTAGTGGGACCTTGAGATGACTGACCAGGTTTGGGATTTTGCATGCTTAGTATATACCCAGGTCTACTAACTGCCTGTTGAGCTCTTGCTGCAATAAGAATTCTCTCTGGAGCTAGTTGTGTAACTCAAGTCTAAAACATGTTGGTCTGTGAAGTGCATGCAGCACCCTCTCACTTTTTGTACTATTGGCCATGTGAGATTTTTATGGGTATTTTTTGATGCCATTGTACCTCCACCAAGTCTCTTCTTGTTGTCTTATCACTAATGCTTACTAGTTTTTGTTAGTGCTTCCCTTTGGAGCATAATTATCTCACAGGAAAGCTTTTTTTTTTGCTTTTTTTTTTTCCCAAAGTGCAGGAGAAGATCTTAGGAATGATCTGCAAAAAAACACCCCAGAGAGTTTTACTTCCCCACTTTGGAAACCTTGCCTGAGTCCTAAGCTGACAAGCTACGTCTGACAAGCCAGCCCCCAAAAGGAGTAAACAAGATTGTTGAAGCGCAAACATTGATAGTTCTCTCTTTTCTCTGTCTCAGATTGTGACTGAATATTAAAAAAAAAAAAAAAGAAAAAAAAAGCCTTAGAGATATCTCCTCTCATAGCTGAATTATTTCGGGCATGTATTAGCAAGGTTGTAAGCATAATAATCAAAAGGTACAGCTAGTGTAGGGAAAGATCATATCTTTTATATGTCACTGTAATAAGAAATACAAATGAACAGCTACTGCTCACATTTCTTCAGACGGATTCTGTCAGATGCTGAACATGTCCAGCACTTGGCAGACTTGTATCCTGGTAATTCACATAAATCCTGTTTCCCTRTTCTCCTGCCACAATATTATTGACATCTGTTTACCACTGTCCTCTCTCGCTGTGCCTGTTTTGCCATGTCTGAAAATACCACATGAAGGACATATTGTAATGACAGCTTGGGCTCTTCCATTCCGCTCTCTAACTATTGCCAGTGTGTGTACTATTTCCAGCATGAACCAAATTTCTCAGAAAATACGTTTAAAATTACTGTAGCTGTGACATGTCTGTGTCCCTAATAATTTCTGCTAAGATAGTAAACTCTGCAGAGTATTTGGTCATGATTAGCTCTGGTTCTGTGTTGTCCTTGTTGAGCTGACTAAACAATTTCCTGAAAACCCCATGTTTTTCCTGTATTGTTCCTCTCTCTCCTTTTTTTTTTTTTTTTTTTTTTGTCTCTTCTTTAAACTCTCCTTTCCTTTCCTTTTTTAACTTTCTTTATACTTTTTATTATTTGCTGAAGGTATCTTGACAATTGTTTGAGCTATCAAGAGAAATGTAACAACTTGTTACTTGGCCTTTGCAGGTTCGAGGGTTTTTGTTGGAGAACACAGAAACGGCCTGTCAAAACATATCTTCCGAAGGTACTGAGTAAGATTAGACTTACTCCATTTTATTTTATTTTCTGGGAGATTCCATAAAGTCCCTTTTGGACCACTTAGGACTTCTAGTGCTGATGTTAATTTAATAATTGATTTAAATGGAAGCTCAGGAGCAGTACTGTAGAGCTTTAGAATCACTAGCTTTGCATTTTTGAGGTTTTCGGGTGTCCCTATTGCACCTTCCTTCCCCTCCACTGTATGTGTGGTATCCCTCTCTGTCATGCCGTGTGAGTTACTGAAACCGGCTGCTGAAACCCATTTCAAGCACTGAGTTGGTCCCTTGTCTTGCTTTCCTCCACACTCTGMCTACTTGGAAATCAGAGTGTTGAGGAGAAAGAATTCACTGTAAGTGAATCTGAGCTCAATAAAATTGCAGAAAATAAGTCTACAGCATTTCAAATTTCTGGCACTACTCCTATTTTAAATACCACATAGTATATTTAAGTGTGCTGCGTTTCATTAATCACAAATCACTGCGTTTCAGTGCTGAAGTTGTCACTGCATATAGACTTTAGCCCACGTAGTTATAGCTGTAGAGGTTCTGCCAGGTATCTTGGACTCTTCATTATGTATGGCAAGAGAACAGAGAGCAAATCCTTCCTGACTTGCTTCAGGGGCACTCAGGCTTGCAGCATGCCCAGTAACTCGAAGGAGCACAGGGCTGAATGGTGGTGAAGGCTCCATGGAGGAGGAGTCTGGCAATGCTCCTGGGTCCAGGAGAACAGCCTCAGCAACGCTCCTTGGTTCAGGCTGCTTCCGTGCCYTTATGAAAAGCTCCACGTGACATGAGAACCAAGCTCTCCTTGACTGAGAACCTTCTTAAGTCTAGAAGTAACAGCATTAGCCATAAATATGTTTTTTTAACCTACCAACCACTGCTAATTGCAAGTTGGTGGCATTTGTAATTTATTATTAAATTGTGGTTGTGTGCTGTCTAGGCATTTGTTAAATTAGTGGATTTTGTTTCTCCCTTACTCAGTTACGCTTGTGCTTTCCTGGAGGATGAGACTGATGATGAGGGTTGCTCCATAAATCCTGTGACAGGCTCCCCGCTCACATGTCGCCGGAGCCCGCGCCTGCTTTCTAATGGCTATTACATTTTGACAGAAGACAGTTTTCTCTCTGATGAAGAAGGCAACATGACATTGACACCATCACAGACAAGTGTTACATATAAGGAAAATTTGGTTCGGTAAGTAAACTACCTACAGGTTAGTTGTCAGTTGGCTCCATAYCTGGACTCATCTGGAAATCCCGGTGTGGTTGCCAACATTTTGTCTAGTCTAAGATAATTTCTTACTTTTTCCTTTTTTTTTTTAGGTATATCAGTATGTTTTAACAGAAACATATCAACTGATTTAGTTTAAACATTGCAGTGATTAAAATTCACTTGAATTTCAATCACATCTAATGGTAACGTTAATACACAGTTGCTGTTGGGTTGGAGGTGTGCGTAACAAATAGAAAAAAAAAGAGCTACAGCTGATTTTCCCAATAAGGTGTTATCATGATTCAGATAAGGAAGAAGGTGTAAAAGACAGGTTTGATCCTGGAACCCCTCATCTGGAAATATCTCTCTTAATTGCAGAAGCATTATCAGTTTAGCAGGGTATGTGAAATGTAGTCCAAAAAAAATGAAAATACCGTGGATTCAGATCACTTAGAATGGGACAGGAACCCACAGGGTGACCCACAGGGTCCGCAGGTACAGTGCCATGAGACCACTTAGAGTAATATCAGAGCATAATTACAGTAGTATCCTTTGGTATCATAATACCACTGTCCCAGTGATACCACTATCATGTATGATATACTGCCATTCTGCTAATATATTCCCTGCCATTATTGCAATGTACACTAGTTACTGTCAGTGCTGTATCCAGGGTCAAGGAATAAGCTCATGACAGAGCGCGGAACAGCACCTGGGATTCTGGTTCTTTCATTTTATTTCTGCACACATTAGAGGACTGTTTCCTGCTCAGCAAGTCTGAATAATTCTGTGTTTTGACCATGTTTCTTTCTAGCATATTCAGACGGAGGAAGAAAATCCATCGCTCTCTTGCCAGTTTGTTCAGTCTCAGTGCCTCTAATTCGTGGCTCAGCAGTACAGGCCTCAGCAATGTGGACTCTTCCCATGGAGATRATTCTTGGGCTGATGGATGCAGTAAACTAGAAGTCAGTCAGACTAATATTGGTAAGTTCTGGATGAGTACAAAGTAATTTAGCTAAAACTTTATGCTCTATAAACTTTATATTAACTTTATATAAACTTGATATTTAAAGTGGGAAGTAGATGTCTGTCTCCATATTTTTGTATGGGTTGTGTGTCCAGAAGTGCATGTAAGGGGTAGGCAAAGGACAAAATATTAACTGGTAAATTGATCTAGTTGCATTCATGCTCAATGGAGATTTTTAGACTGAAATTTAACACAAAGTTACCACCAGTGAGATTTATCCCAGTATGATTAATGTGTCACTCTTATTTTTGCCTATTTTGTGTAACTTTATTGTGTAAGATTTTTTTTTTAAGGACAAAAAAAGTCCTTTTTTGTGTGAGCTAAATTGCATGAATATGTGCTTTTTATAGGTGATTCAGATCTTTCTGAATGTAAGGGTCCTGTATCACAAAGACAAGATGCAGCAGCACTAGGCAATGGAGCCTCTCTCAGCAAAGACAAGGGGTTCATTCAACCGAGGAAACTACTCTGTGCCTCATTGTCCTGCCCCCTATTTGTGACAGATGACAACGAGGAGACTTTGAGCAGTGCAGGTGCATTAAKTTCTTATCCTGATATGGTTTATTTTTATAGTGAGCTGAAACTCATGTTAAAAATGTTAAAATGGCTTTTTGCATAGCAGCATGTATTTCAAGAAATCCAAATTTTAAATAACTGCCTAAAAATAATAAAATCTTAAACCAGATATTTGTTTGTTTAAACTGCCCCACTCACATTTTTTCMTCTCTCATTTTCAGTAATAAAATAGAAAAAGTGGAGTAAGGAGTAAAATGGAGGAAATGCTATACGTACCGAAAACAAAATATTGGGAAAGACTTATTGGATGAGAACTTTGGAGATTATGGTCTTTCTGTGATCGTAGTGGAAAAGGACTACTTAGTGACACTGAGAGTGTGAAAATTAGGTTTCCACTCTGAATAACTATAGATGAAATTCATTTAAACAGAGAGAAACTGAGGAGACTGGCCTTATAGGTAATGTGTCCTATCGTGTGTTTCCTTTATGAAAACTCACAAGAATTATTTTCTTCATCTGCTACTTTTTGTTTAGAACCTAAGGCTGTGCAAAATATCCTCTCTCAAATGGCGATAGTGATCATGTGTTTAATCATTTCAACATCTATAAGGTAATTTTTATTTAATCTTTATTGCTGTTCATTTCACCTGATGATTAAAACATAAATGGTCACATTTGTAAAGCTATGAATGCCTTACTGTGAAAACACATTTGTACTTGGTAATTGATTCAATCAAACATCAAAGATACTTAAGTGTGTACAAAAATAAAACATATGGATGTAGACACCTACTTTCAAATGTGTTTGGCCAGGTCTTCTGAAAGCCTGGAAAGAATCAGACTGAATTTATGTCTTTCCACGTCACCAATATATGAGTTTCATGTCTGGTCTGGGAATAATGAGATCTCTCAAATAAAGATCTTACTTCTAAGATGTACTTAGAAGATCTTACTTCTTACTTCTTAGAAGTAAAATCTTTACTTGAGAGATCCTCAATAGCTTAAATATTTTTAAATTTCAAATTCCAGTTTCCCTAGGATATTTCAGGTGCCTCATATGCAACAAACTCTTCCTACTCATTCTTCCCTTGATTAACCTAATATGCACCCACTGCATTTTCTAATCCATTGATTTGTTTTCAGATATTTTCTGGGAGATTTCTCTGTGACTTTGTTGCTGATAATTTTGTTTTGTAAGTATAGATTTTCTTTATATTCAGCACAATATTTACCAAGTCACATCTAAAGATCAAACTCTGTCTTTAGATATATATCTACAGTTCTTACTGATATTGAAAAGAATGATCTGTGGGCATATGGGGACAGTATGATATCTTCAATCAATCACAGAATTTTTCATTTAAATTTAACAGTTCTTTTGTCCCAAGATACTGCTGTGCCATCTTTTGCCGGTCTTGTCACATCTTTCAAAACAACTCAGTCTGGGTAAGTAGCAGCAAAGTAATGCAATGGCAATTTTATATTAAAAAGAGAAGGGAGAGATTCTTTCTTCTATTTTCAYGTCGAAAGATAAAAGGCATGATCTGAAGTTACTGACGAAGGGCTTGACTTTTCTTATTACTTATTTGTATTCATATGAATTTCATGTTTTGATGGAAAGCTGCTTTTTTATAATTTGCGGTAGCAGATATCTGTTAGCAGAAAAGGAAGATTAGCTAAAGTGCCATAACAGCCTTTTTGAGGGGGAGGGCATGGGAGCTTGAAAAAATCAAAATCAGCAAGATATGATAAATACATCAGCAAGGACCTCACCAAGCAACATTCAAGGACTGCAGAACTGATATGACTCGGCCCAATGCATCCAGCACCTTCTAGAGAAAAATACATAATGATAAAAGTGTGAAGTGTATCTCTAGGACAGCTCATACATAGGCCACCATGCTGTAAGCATGTAGATGTGTGGTAGGTTTATAAATTGTCATTCTTTTGACTTACTACTCAGCAGAAAATTCTTCTGAGTGTGCAAGCATTTAATGTATTGCAGAGCAAAAATGTGTTTGGACTTATCTTTTATTTATTTTATTTTATTTTATTTTTTTTTAATGTGTGAAAGAGAAGCTCAAGAGGACGCTAGTATTTCTGAAACTGGACAGGGTTCAGGGTTTGATGTATCCCAATGGCAACTGGTCAAATCTGGCAGATCTCTTAAATTTGAACTCAGTATGTTGGAAATTAGAAATGACAAAGCAAAAGCTGGGAAGCTGCATTACAACGCGTTTCAGATTTTTAGTATTCAGAAGTCTTAGCACAACACCTTAAATACTCAAGGGCAGAATGTTTCACTTTGTCATCATGTCATTAATCTTGGTAAAATCAATGGCACCAAGTGTGGACGGTGTTGCTAGTACATTGTAAACCCAGGCTCCAAACAAGACTTTCTACCTTTCTCCATAGCTGGGTGCACAGTCATAAATTAAGCTGTTGTTCCCCAAATGAAAACAAATACACTGTGAGAGCTTTTCAGTCCCTGCTGTACAGAGACTACTTCTTTTGTCTTTGTCACGGAAGAGAAGTTACCTGCTCAAACACGCAGTCTTACAGCATAAATATATTTGGCAAACAGAAACCTACAGATAAACTGATTTTAGAAAGTGTGGTTTAAATCAGGTTATACAAAAATGTATGCTTTTTTTTTTCCAGGAAGTAATTGGAAAGACAGAAGAATTGGTAAGTATATATTTAARTTGAGAAGCTGAAGGATTCCATACMTTTTAGGGWGAGGTCTGTTATGAAACAGGATTCAAAATGCCAAAAAGGTTCCTTGAAACCTTTATTAAAACCTTCATTGAAAGTGCTTAGCAATGGGCTCTTGGCTAGTTTCCATCTTCTTGTCTAAAACTCCTCTTTGATTTCATTTAGGTGAAATATTTTCTGCTGCTTGACAGCCGCTGCTAGAGAGTGTTAGCTGTTAAATGACCACTGCAGCTCAGCCCAGAGAGGTTGTTTTCAGTAATAGGCAAACTCTTACTTTCAAAGTTTAAACAGAAAACRAGGGCCAGGTGCTGTGCTATTTTAATTTGGTAGCACTCCCCAGAATGAATGAAGCAGCATCAACATGTATTGGTGCAGAGTATCTGGAAAACATTTATAGATCCTTCTTTGTGCTTTTTTTGTACTGGAATTGGCCATCCCTGTCCCGGCTCCCATATTTCTTTTACTTCTTTACTACTTTTCTCTGAAACAATAAGAAGGGGAAAAAAGAAAAGAAAAGGAAAGGAAAAAAAAAATAAAGAATCGTACCCAGATTTGTGTCCCTCATATTAAGGATAAAACATGAGTTTTTACATTAGTTTTCATCAGTTCCCTGGAGGAGTGTGGTTCAACTTCTGAGATACAAAGGCATCCGCACAGCTGCAGATGTAACGAGTTACATCTGTAACCTTTGAATTAGCCCACAAAAGGATGTTCATCCTGAGAAGAAAGGATTTTGGAACTGTATGCAGGCATTTGGATACTTTTTGCTCTTACTAAAGCCTGTGGTGAGAAAGTGTATCCTGTTCGCCCAGCGTGCCAAGCTGTGGCACTAGATACGGCACTTCTTAAAGTCAGTGTTTGCATTAGCACAGCTGCACCAGAGCTTTAAAGCTGCCTTGTGCCTGGAAAGACCTGTATCAGTATTAACCACAGCAGGTACTGCAGAATGGAAGGCAGAACTTGGGCCTACGACCTTGTAGGAGGAAAATAAATACAGGCTGGCACAAAATGCTGTGAGACAGGACATTGTGAACAGCTAGTTAGTTTTTCCTTCTCCTCTAATTTATTTCCTCAACTCTTCCACATCAAACTGCTGGATATCTACATATGCCCACTGTTAACACATGTTCCTCTGGAAAAAAAAAAATAACAGAATTGCCAGTATTCTTCGTTTAAAACACAAAGCATTTTAGCTTCATTTGGATTCCTGTCAAAGTTTGGGTGAGGCCATTTTTCTTGGTGATTGCAATTGGTGATCGTACAAAACAATTCTGTCAATGAAGCCCTATGYAGACATGGGGTCCTGCAAGCACTGAAATAGTAATTTGATGTTAAGAATTTAGCAATCCCTTTTAATACATCTTTTGATAAACAGTTGATCTTTTCAAACATTTTACACTTTAATTTCTTGTAACAACATGCTATTAAAGGTAACATTTAGATAGTGTTGGAGCACATGAGGTAACATTTCAGAAACTTTATTGCATCATGTCTGTCACTGCCTTTTAGGTTTTATGCTGAACCTTTTGTAAAAAGAAAAAAAAAAAAAAACCAAAGAGAAAGAAACATACAAAAAAGTAAAAGTTAGTGTTCCTCAGTTAGTGTTAGGCAAATTATTAGAGTCCAGGAAGGCACTTTTGGAAAAACCAGGAAAGAAGAGGTAGAAAAGCAATGACAAACCACAATAACTTGGACTAAAAAAAAAAAAAAAAAANAAAAAAAAAAAAAAAAAAAAAAGAGGAAAAAAAAAAGGAGGAGAGACTGCAGCTATTAACTAAATACTGAGCTTTTTATTTTATTTTATTTTATTTTATTTTATTTTATTTTATTTTATTTTATTTTATTTTATTTTATTTTATTTTATTTTATTTTTTTATCTTGGATCTTTGCTATCAAAGACCAAATTAAACATAAAGCCCATGGGTAATCAAAACTGTTATCTTGTGACTCCAAGCTCTTATCATCTGCTTCTTAAAATATCTCCTTACATGCCAGTTGAGCTAGGACAGCATGGATTTCATCTTTCCATGCACCAAAATGAATATAATATGTGAGGATGCTGCTGCCTACCAAATCATTTTATAACTGATGCTGCCTGTGGTCTACTTGACCCCTACTGTACTAAAAGCAATGTTAGCACAGCGCCCGCTCATAAAACACATAGGAAATACTGTCTGTGGAAGAACAAGGTCTGCAGATAGGACACACTCAGACCTGCCRGCCAAAAGACAGGGAGTTCAAACCTCTGCAGCAAACGCCCACAAACTAAAGTGATTTTTTTTTTTTTTTTTAATGAAAGAATCTAGAAAAATAATTCCACTATCTGTCCGTGTTTAACCCAGACTTAATATATTTATATATATGTATTTCTAGGACCAGAAATCCAAAGAAGTGAGACAGTGAGGAAATGAGTGCTTGCAATTAATTTTAAAAGCATATTTCTCTTTCAAAGAGTAAATATAAACTGGCTACATTTTGAAGATAAACATCAAGAACGTAAGCAGGGAATTTCACCCAAATTACCACGTTTGAATAGTAACTTATTTCAGCCCAGTACACTAAATTAATCTCATATGTAGACAGGCCTTGCTGTAACTATTTTATTGCTTCAATAAATAACAACAATAAAATGTCTTTCATCATTAAACTTATGCATTATGTAACTATAATAGTAGTTAAATATTCATCCTCATATTTATTTACAGTTGCTACATTTGAGTAATTTTGTCAGTATTTATTTTTCTGTTTTATTTGCTAACTATAAAACCACCGAAAGTAAATATCATTGTTATTTAGAAATACTATGTGTTACCTACTTTATTATGAGTTATAATAGGGCTTTTGCTATATATATATATTTTAAACTAAAGAAGTAAAAAGATCTTTATTGTTAAGATATTTTCTTGGAAGAATAATCTGGAAATTAAAGTTGGAAACTTTGAGAAATGTTCTAATCAGGAGAGAGGGGAAGCTCTGCAACAGCTTTGCAATTGGAAGCAAATGGGTAAAAATAAGATGCCAAGATATGTTAAGATGAGCCCTTAATTGATATTATTGGTATACAATTAAGTTTTATTCAATAAGAAATCAGATCAGTCGACTTTAACAGTTCCCTTTCATATATTCCAATGGACATAAAAGCAAACCTTGCATTGCTCTTCTGAAAAGAAGCACAATAATATGTTATATTCCATTGTGYTGGATGAAAAATCAAAGTCAGAATCTGTTTAATGAGAAATCAAAGGCAACATTTTCCAAACAAAATATTTAAAACCAAAATTTTAGCGATAATAAGTATATGCAACTACTGTTAACTGCAGAATCAAGCCTAGGATAATTTTAAGCATTAATTTTAGCAAAATAAAACCATCTCATGGTTGCTGTTTAACTGACACATCTAGAAACAGAGGGAATTTTATATTTTGGTCCTCAATGATTTAATTATGACTCCATTTTAATATAGCACCTGAGTTAAAAAGGAATTAAAAACGAATTTCAAGATAAAGATTTATAACCCCCTATAGGTTACCTTATACCTTTCATGACCATTATCATTTATCATTACATTTTGTCTTGCACTCTCCCATTTCTTGCTGAGTTCAGCTGAACTGCATGGCTATTTCTGAATATATATCATRCAGTACTTAATAGTGTGAATGTTCTTGTTAAGTGAACAGGAGCAAGCACAATGTCTGATAATATTTATGGCACCCTGTAGCATGTAACATTTCTCGCCTGTGTGCAAGTCAGTTGTGTATTTAATAACCTGAAAGCACTGCACCTAGAAAATCAAGCCATAGAGCCTAAAATGGACATTTTAAAGTTAAATGGTATGGAGTAAACAGTGTTGGTACAGAAAATAGGAAAGGCCATTCAGATCGGTTCTCTAGAATCTGCTCTTTGGTGTATTTTTTGTGAATTAGCTGGACTGTATTGTAAATACGTTTACATATTTTTAAATGTTTGTCATGCTGCTTTTCTTCTTATTGTCTTTGATATTTATATAGCTATAAAAATGTTGTTCCTACTGTATTTTAGGGTGTTCTTAATAATGAAGGCATAGGAATTCTATATATTGTAATAGATTTGTTATTTGTTATTTGTTATTTGTTATTTGTTATTTGAAAGGTTATTTTTCCTGACCTGTAGGTCATGTGCTCCTTGGGACAGGAATTACTGGTACATTGGTATGAACAGGAAAGCCTCATTTTGCTACAGTTACTGAGTTATACCACCATAGACTATGGTAGAAATAATATTTTAATTGAAAATTAATAGAAAGACATAGGTCCAGATTCTCAGTGGGTGTGAATCAGCTATTTTTAACAGCTAAGAATCTGACCTGAAGCATTTCAGCAGCTGAGATTATCAAAGGAACTGTGATTATCAAATACTATGGTGTAAGCACACACTCAAAATACTTCCGATGCACTGTAATAATAATGCTATAAAGCTTACTTTGTCATGAAATGGGATATTTTATATTGCACTGCTTTATGAATTTAACAAATAAACTTTGAATTTTTAAAGTGGTAAAGTAAATTTATTTTGGGAAAGCATGTTAGATGGAACGTTTTTTCTTTTCCTTAAAGTCCATTCTCCTATTTGTCATTTGGTTAATATTATCTCTGATGGTTATATTATCTCAGTGTACAATCATGCACATTGACAGTGAATGAGAGTTATCATTTGAAGCTCTTATAATATTTGGGGTGAAAATTGCTATATGAAAATAACGAACACAATAAGATCAATGTATGTAAATACCAAATTTAGAATTTCATTTTAAAATAAATGAATGTAGAAGTCTTTTCAGAAGTTGTACAATATGACACCTGAAAATTGTCCTATTCATCATCACCTCACAGACCCAGGAGACACTGCAGAGGGGCACAGGTGCTGGGGAACACCATTTGGGGCCTGCACAAGACTTGCTATGGGACAATTAGGGGAAGGACCAAAGGTGGGGAGGAATTGATGTGCTTTGGGAAAAGCAGGCATGGAAAGCACCAGGTTGCCAGGTAGAGTGTTGCCTGGCCATGCCCTGTGATCATCAGCACAGCCTGTCCTCTCTTCTTGCAAAACCCATTTCCAGATCTTTTTTTTTTTTTTTTTCCTGGGAGAAGGGCTGTATTCTGTGTGTGGAGGTCCAAGAGTCAGGAAGGGAGTGGAACCCAGCTCATGGGGCCCATGTGCCTGGCTGCCATCCCTGGTGCAGTGTGAGGTTTATTTTGCTTTCTTCAGGGCTATCACACAGAACCCCTGCTGGAAAAACGTGCTTTCATAACAAAACAATTTAGTTATTAATAGTCTGCATATTACAGCGTAGAAACAGCACGTGAAAAACAGCACAGCAAGAACAAGTTTTTTTTTCCTGTTTTTCAAAGTTGATTACCTTGATTAGAAGCTATTTTCTCAAATAAAAATGAATAGCCTTGGCAAAACACACAGCTGTAACAGTCATCATTCTACACGGCCTGCAATTTAATATGAAGTTAATGAATAGGAAGAGGAAGCATTAGCAATATTGTGGGGTTTTGGTATTTCTGTGTTTCATTTTATTCTTTTTTTTTTTTTTTTTTTTTTTTTTTTCCCTTTCTTATGGCTCCTGGGCCACAAGGTGGTGCCATCTAACCAGCTGTGTCAACATCTTTGTCCTTCATGTGGCTTTGGCACTTAAGTGGCCAGATAGACAAGGATAAATGAGGAATTTAAGCTGTGTGTGTATAAGCTACTGGCTCCTCCTTTATGTCTCATTATCTCCACAGAACTCAGCAGCTTTACAACCGTGACATCTCCTTCCTCTTCCTCCAGAACACCAGTAAAATTAGAAAGTTGCAGAGCAGCCAAGGGGAATTTCATGTACTGCCTTAGAGACAGATGCGTTACTAAATGAATCTAAGCATTTCTTTTAAAATGATTATAAATGTATATGAACATATTAATTTATTCCAGTAGAAGATGAGCTTGAGGCTTGACCTTCAGAATAAGGAAGACCTGTGTTTAGTTAACTTAAAAGGCAAGTCTGAAAAAAACCTTTATCACTGTGTGATGAACCATTTGAACACTTTTACCAGTGTTCAGCTGGGCTGGTGATCATCAAGTTAGCGTTAAGATGAAAAATCTGCAGATCTTATACACGATGTCTTCAACGGTCTAGTCCCCAACACTGCCAAATATCCTGTCTCCCACTCGACTTCTTTCAGGTTTAGGTTGTCACAGTTTTGCCAGTCAGAAACCTGTTTAATCAATATGTGAAGCCATGACGCTTATATTAACTGCAAAATAGGAATTAGCTGCCAACTAACGGCTGTAACGGCTCGGCTGCCCCGCCGCCATTAACGGGACCATTAACTCCCGCCCGCCGTTGCCATGGCGGCGCGGCGCGTCCCGTAATGGCGGCAGCGGCGCCGAGGCGACCATGGTGCGCAGTGAGTGTCGCGGGGCTAAAACCGGCTGCTGAAGGGAAGACGGTTCTTTAGATGCATCCAACCTTCCCCTGGCCTCGGCAAGACACTTACTTTTCCCAATAGGTTGACGTTATGTGAAGGTGTGATGCTACACATTATCAGTGTGGTATCGTTTGCCCAAAGTACAATAAAAAAATCAATCTTCTGAGAAATCACTGTGATACAAGTGGTGAGATGAAAATAAATAATAAAAGGAATAACCTTCTTTCCCYAGATATATAAGGAACCTGTCAGCAACATTCAGCATACTGTATGGTTAAGGGAGATTCTCTAAACCCGAATGCAAGCCATGATCACTTAAATATTCTTTAAGTTGTATGTTGTCTGGAAATCTGTCAAACAGATCTTTTAAAACAAACAGACTTTTTAGCAAGGAGGATCCAGCCTGGGTCATCCTAGCCCGTGTAAATTAACCTCTTTCACCCCTTTCCCCATGAGTGTAGACAGAGAAGCTAAATTGAAACATGGATTTGAGCAGTATTGCTTCAGTAAAATTACCATTCCAAGACAATAAATAATAAAAWTGGCCAATTTGACAAAACCTCCCTGAGACAAATAAGCCAGGAAAGAACGATTTTATTTAATTGTTTGGAAAGGATAAATTATTTTTACATATCTCTATATGTGTTTTTAACTTTATTTTTTTTTTGTCAGAGCGTTTTTGAAAGGCTTTCCAATCATCTGTGGGAATTAACAGTCATGAAAATACCTATGGTAATTTGATAAAATCCCGGTTTTTCAATCAATATTACACTCTAGTACATTGTTTCTCAGGGAGAGAAAAAAGGCAAGTGTTTTTTTGGTTCAGTGGGCTGGAAACACAATAATAGCATCTACTACAAAACTAAGCTCTTTTTCTCACTTTTTWTTTTTTTAAACTTTTATTATACAGAGGCTCTTTACTGCTTGAAAGATTTCCCAGCACTAAAATAGTGCTGCATGAAAGTTCTGAACCAAGGTCTCTGGTGACTTCTGGTCACTGAAACTCTTTTGCTTGCTGCTAATGACCTCGCAGTAGCCAAAAATTACCTAGGATTAAATTTCATCCCAACAGAGACAGTTATAAGCATGAATTAATTGTGGCTTTGCCTCAGCCAAGAAAAGAAATGTAAAATATATGTCCAMTTTCAGCATTCATCTTGCTTATTTCAGTGCACAATTTGGTGATGGGAGAATATTTTGACACCTAGTAGCTACTTTACAATTTTTTTTGCCGCTACCTGAGATGTGAACATCTGGCACTGCAAAATAAAAGTCCATAAAGCACTCCACTGCTTGTCTACATTAATCAATCTGCAACCTGAAGTATACTGAAAATAATGAATGCTCAATTCATTTCTGCCATGGCTGTGTTGTGCTCTTGGAAGACTCAGTGGTTTTCATATAGATTTTTGGATGTGACAAGTGACYTCAGGGTGTGTTACAAATGAGATATACAGTGAAAAAATGGGCTAAAATGACCTGCTGCTTGCTGTCTCATATTTTTACTGAATGACTCTTTATTATGACAAAAGATTTAATTGATTTTATAAGATGTTAAGTCACAGGGGGGGAATGAGGGAAATGTCTGAAAGGAGGTTCTTTTTCCCAACAACTTCTAATATTTCTTTCAGTCACTGAAGATCTTGTTAGAAGACGTGCAGAACATAACAACTGTGAGCTATTTTCACTGGAAGAAATCTCTTTACATCAGCAGGAAATAGAAAAGCTGGAATACCTAGACAAATGGTGTCGAGATTTAAAAATTCTCTATCTTCAAAATAATCTCATTCCAAAAATTGGTAAGTGTCTTTTCAAATGAAATTACATGTATAATTCTGAAATCAGAAAAGGAAAAAAAAAAAAAAAAAAAAAAACTTGGGTAAACAGAGAAAACCTGTTTTGTTGTGCATCTGTCCCTACAAGATTTTGAGCATCGTTGCTCACTGTTACTTTTAACAGATCGCTAAGAAGTTTGGAAATTTCCAAGGTAAATTTTAAGTGAAAAAGATTCTACTGAGATACAAGTCACTAAAATATGAGTCTGGAACAATTTTTACAGATGTATTAAGATTAGATTATTAAAGTTTTTTGCCTTTGTGGCGTGAACTGAGATATGAAAGAACTAGTTCCTCCCATTATCATCGGTTTTCAGTTCAGTTTTTTAGATATAGATTGTTTTTGCTAGCACTGAAATAATTTTTGTTCAGATAAAACAGTTTTTTTGTGTGTGTGTAAAGATATCTTTTTACAGAAAAGTGTCAGTACTTCTCATCACGATTGGCTGGTGTTTTGTGGTATCAGGGTGTAGGCTAAAGTGTTTGCTAGGTGCTCCACAGAAAGATAGAAAATAAGGCCTTGGGCAGGAAGAGTTTGGTCTCTGCTTCTAGTGTGGAGAGTTGAAGTCAAAGACTTCATCTTATTAACCCTCCTATTTCTTTCTTTAGTGTAGTATGTCACTCTTTCAGACTAATGCTTTAGGGGCACAAGATTTTTTCAGCAGTCTTATTTTCAAGAGATTTAGTCTTAAATTAGTATAATCTAACTGAAGAACTTGGAAGAGCATGTAACTTCCAGCTTCCATATGTTTCTATGTAATATAATTGCTTTCCAAGATAACACTTCCGTAACACATGAAAAGAAAGAAATAGCACTACGTGAATGTTGACCAAAAGCTGTGCTAAGTATTAAAATTGAGAAGTAGTTCTTCCTAGTGGGTACCAACCTTTCTGGTGGTACATGCAGCAAATGTCACTTCCAGAAGCACTTCAGAATATCATAGCTGTATGGTTTGTACTAGATCTGCTAGGACACCTCTCTCTCGTTTATTAAAGGAGACCTTTACATAGCCGTAACAATCAGACCTGCCAACTGGTGGGATAACAAATTATAAGGCATACAGGTGCGCAGAAAACCTAAGTGCCTAACTGCTATGACTGCATGGATGAGGCCTTGTTTTCTTTTCTATAGATGAGAGGGGGAGAAAAAAATTGGCTACAACACTGCCTTTTTCATTTCTTCATGTGTAGAGTCATTGATGTCATGGAAATACTCAAAGAAAAATGAACGGCCAACCTAAGCTAAAAAAAGTCCTTGCTAAGGACTCTTTCATTGTATATTTGTGAATTATGAAATATATATATCATTCCAAGGTCTTAGTAAACCACATGGTAGAATTCATATAATTTAACTTTAGACATCTGTGTCTAAGGCAGTTACTCTAACCTCCTGTTATAATCAATGGATAAAAAGAAAGGCATATTTTTGAGCATGATTTAGTTCACTGGTTTTAAGACATCCAATTTGAGATAAGACAGATTGAACCTTGAAGAACCTATTTCTCTTCACTGATTATAAAAGAGATGGACAAGTAATGCCACTGTAGAGATGATCTATGTTGCTTAGATGAATCTCATCGTTTGAATTTCTATGCTGCTGCTATGCTGCTGAGACAGGGGACAGTATGTACAGTAGTTAATCAGTGCAGCTTGTGACTGCAGCTTGTGACTTAGAATAGCTAAGCATATAATAATGTCCTTTGTTATTTTATTGGATAAAGTTTCCAGTTGGAAAATCTTTAGAGATCTTCACCTGTTTAAAAGTTAGATGATGTATCTTGTGTCCAATCAGATATGTCATGTGTCTCTAATGGTATTTGCATTTCTCACTCACTTTTGGGACTGGCATGGTGAAGGTAGTGGCTGATAAATTCCTTTTTTGCCTTCTTTGTATATTTGAGAAGGAGCAAATGTTACCCACTGCAACAGAACATGCCAAAATTTGCTGACCTCTTCCTTTCAATCATGCATCATGAAAATTGTGTATTTCAGATCCCAGATTACAGCGTTTGTGGGGTTTATCCCTCTTGGGAAGAACTTTGTCAACAAGATAAGAACTTTGTTTTATCTGTCTTGAATCCATATAAATCTTTATCTGAAAAATGTTCAAAAAGGGAGAAGGATGTGCAGAATGCTTCTGCCCTTGACTGGCAACTTTGCCATCTGATATTTGCAGAAACAGCAGCACAGGGAATGTTTTGGCCTAAATGAGTCCTTGCTGGTATGTTGTTTTTATCAGCATGACACTAACAATAAATTTAAATGGCTGTATTTAAAAAGAGGAACATATAAAAGTGTATATATGTGTGTGCGTGTGTGTGTGTGTGTATATATATATTTTACTCATCTATTTTTGTTAAATCATTTTAATCTGTCAGGGATGATTCTTGGAGACATTATCTACAAAATTTTCCCCTTTCTTTCCTTCTTTCCTAAATTAATCAATGCTTGTGCCCAATGTGCTATTCCATCTCAACTGCCTCTCTGTCTGGCACATTTTTTTCTGTGATTAAACCAGACTTTCTAATTCTGTTCTCCCCTGAGAACAAAAACCGAATGGTATCTCTTGCTCTTTTCCAATGGTTTCATTCTGCATCCTAAAGCTTTGAGACCACATTGTGGGAGAAAGTGCTGCGCTGAAGAAGAGCACAGTATTACCAAAATGACATAGTAACATCAGCACTGAGGAATCAAAAGAATACTTATTCCCCAAAATTCTAGTGCATTCCTCAGGGTATTTTTTCAGGTTCATGGCAGAAAAGCAGCTTGGTTTGAAGTTATTATTATTTTCAAAATTATTTTTAACAGAATTGTGTTTTCTTGTGTTCTGCATTTCTTCAATGACACTAGTGAAAACACAAAAGTCAAAAACAAGACCATAATTGTGGGCCAACCCATTCCTGCTATTCAGTTAATAGTGTATATAAGAGGATCCCAGCTGAAAATGACATTTCCTGTTTTTTTAGATTTCCTCCTAACTTTCCTAATCAGAGGATTTAAAGCAGAGATTTAAATCACAGAATCACAGAATCACAGAATGCACAAGGTTGGAAGGGACCTCAGAGGTCACCTAGTCCAACCCCCCTGCACACACAGGGTCACCCAGAGCACGTGGCACAGGGCTGCATCCAAGCGGGTTTTAAAGATCTCCAAAGAAGGAGACTCCACAACCGCTCTGGGCAGCCTGTTCCAGTGCTTTGTCACCCTCACAGTGAAGAAATGCTTCCTTAAGTTCCTGTGGAACTTCCGATGCTTCAGTTTGAAGCCATTTCCTCTAGTCCTATCACTGTCCACCACTGAAAAGAGGCCCTAAGATAAAAGATAACCCTAAGCTTATCAAGAACACTGTATTGCTGCAAAAACATCAGCAAATAAATACATAAATAAATTAAATAAATAAAAAAGGTAGTTTTCTAAAAGGTAGTTTTCTAAAACAGATTCTTTTTTAATTCATACTGTGTTATAGACAGCAAGTAACTTCCAGGCTCAGTGAGTCTGTGTTGTGCTAAGGCTTTATTTAAAACAACTTTAATTCTTTCAAGTTTTATACAATATGGATTTATTAATATTTTAAGTTTCTAGTATTAGGTACTTTAGACAAAAGATCTTTAGAACCTAAATACATACTAAGGAAAAAACTTTTTATTTTGTATCAAAGTGAATTTAAAAGTGTGACTAAATATTTAGCTTGACTAAATATGCCCTACTCATTTCTGAATTTCATGGTGAGTGAAAAGCATGGTTTCATCAAGGTTTTTACAGACCTTGTTTATCGGTATGATGCCATTATAGGTTTATGACAAAAATGCTCATAGGTTTTCTTATTCTTTATATTTTTTTTTAGTTTTCAATTTTCAGAGAACTTTCTGCTTTCATCTTCATATTAATAACCAAATTTTTGCTTCCAACTTTATTGTTGGCTTGAAGTTAAGCAAGCAAGTAAAATCATTATGCCCTTTCCAATAGAGCGAACTGATCCAAAAGATGCTTATTTGTTACAGAAAATGTGGGCAGGCTAAAGAAGCTCGAGTATTTAAATATTGCTTTGAACAACATTGAAAGAATTGAAAATCTGGAAGGTAAGATTTTTGAACAAAATATTTTGCCTTTTCATATTAAAATACCTGAATTGTTACCAAAAGGTGTAAGATGTGATAGAGTGTGTAAGTTGTCAGATATATCCACCAGTAATGACTCTTTGTTGACATTAAGAAGGGATTTTTCTTAGTGGTCAGTGTTTCAGTTGTGCTTCTTTTTGGCAAATCCTTCCAATATTGAAATTCTGTGACTGCAGTTTCTTAAAGTTATTTTGATTTTCACTGTTTGCACACTCTCACACCACTGTTGTCATCTCTGAAATCTCTATTCTTTATTATCTTTATTATAGTGTTAAAAAAACTCCACACCATTCTAATTATCCAGTATCAGAGACTTATCTTTATGTTGTGGAAATACTAATTCCATGTGGGGTACATGAATAATTTTGAAATATTTATTATTTAACACTATCTAAACTCTAAAAAGAGTTTCCCTTGCAATTCATAAATTTGCTTGACATCAATAGTTAAGTCTCACATGAGAAAGATTCACGCTATGCATAAATGTAATAGCAGTCTGGAGTATTTTTGTGGAGTTTTTCCAATTATTCTTTTCTCTGTTGTTACATGAAGTAATATCCATTTTATCTCTGTTTAACCCTTTATCCAGTCAATACCCTGTACAAAGATCTGTCATTTCCCATGATCAAATTCTAAAGCCTAGAGCCTTCTAAAAAACACATTCTATATTATTTAAATCATTTCTAGCTTGACTTCGTTTCTTTCTTAACTTTCTTAACTTTATTTAGGTTAGTTGCTATAATTTTTTAAATGTCCACTTTGATGAGGGAAAAGTGACAAAATTTCTTTTTTTCTTTACATTCAGCAAGCTGGTTGAAGATGTTAGTTTAAATCAAATGTTAAAAACAAAACAAAAAGGTTAAAGAGAAGTCTTTAAAAGTTAAAGAAAGAGGCAGTACATCACATATTTGGCAATATATTGAGAAACTTGAATTTATTCTCATGGCAATTAATTTTATGGTCCTCTATCAGGCTGCATATTTATTACTGTGATTTGTAATTCATTTATCAGTTAAGCATTTGGGAGCATGGCTTGCAAAAAATTGGATTATTTAAAATCCCTAATAAATCATTCTGAGTTGTTTATTCGCTTTCAGCTCCATTACACAAAAAATACTTGCAAATAGACTACCAAAGAAAAAGGTGTGGTTGCAGTGATGAGTACAGCAGGTCAAACTCTTATTTAGCTGAACTTTTTACTGTTAGAGTAAATGCTATAGTTCTTGGATGGATTTTGATAAAAATCTAAGAATTTTTTAAAAATATTCTTCAAATGACCTTGTGCCTGACTTCAAAAAGAAAAATGCTAGTAGTAGTAAAGAAAGACAATGAATGGAGAAGGAAACTTTCTGGGGATTTGGAGTTCCTCACTGATAGTTCATTCTTTCAGTAACCCAATTTTCTATTTTATTAGAGGTGTACATTTATATTATGGACAGAATAAAAAATGTTTTTTCAAACAGGCTGTGAAGAGCTGAAGAAACTTGACCTGACAGCAAATTTTATTGGTGAACTCTCCAGTATTGAAGTTCTAAAATATAACATACATCTGAAGGAACTGTTTCTAGTGGGGAACCCATGTACTGATTTTGAAGGTTATAGACAATTTGTGGTGGCAACTCTTCACCAACTGGAAGTAAGATTTTTTAAAGAATTGTATATTATGTCCAAATCAGTAATCATAATGATGCATTTTCCCTTAATGACAGCATTCCCTTAATGACAGCAAATGCTTGTAGTAGAAACACTAGGAACACTTTGCTTACTGTCCTCAGAATATTACTTTCTATTCTGAAGAGAAAGTGATTATCATAAATAAATTATAATCAATAGGTTGTTAATTCCCCCAGATGCAGTTGTTAACTTCCTGTTGTTTTCCTGGGAATCTTTAAGCAAATCCCTGGAAAATCTGCATTGATAGTACAGTTCTGGGCTTTTGCTCATTTATTTCTTAAATACAGAATATATTTTTAAATTATTTTAATGACTGCAGAAAGTTATTAGGTTGTTGGAACTGTAAGTTTTAATTGTTTCTGAAAGCCAGCAGAAGGATCGATGCTGATGGCAAAAAACAAAACAAAGCAAACAACAACAAAAAAAAATACACTCAAACACATTGCTTGTAAGTAGATACTTTAAGAATGAGGTTTTGTGAAATGAGTGAGCTTGGCTGATGACTTCTGGAATTATCCTCTCACAGTTTTCCTTGGAGGAACACTGTCACTTACCTGACTTCTTAAGGAATAGATTCACTCACTTTGTTGGCAATACATTAACATAACAAAATAATTTTGTAATGTTTTCATTAGCTGAAGTCAGATGGACACCAGAAATGGCTCAAGGGAAGGAACAGAGGAAGCAAAGGCAGCATCAGACCATTATTTGACACAGATATTTTATAAAACCAAAGCAACCACAAGGGCTTTTATATAATTTTTGCAAAGGATAAGTTACATCTAAAGCCAACCTTCCCATGTAAGACCATTAATTTAAATGTAATACTCGTTTTTTATTTTTGGAATAAAGCTAGAGCTGTGGAGTTCTATGGACTTTTGAAAGGCATATTATTATTTTGAGGGAGTTATCTGTCAAAATCAGCATATTATTGATTTAAATACATATAAAGTTTCTCATATACGTTTTTTTCTTCTTCTTTGGGAAGTCTTTGGATAGCAAGGAGATAGAGCGCTCTGAGAGGACTCGAGCACTTCAAGACTATCCAGAAGTGAAGAAGAAAATCAGAGAACAGGAAAAAGCTTACCTTCTTAAAAGAGCCAGAGAGAAAGAAGATGCTCAAAGAAGGATGCAAGAAAGGAAGGAGAAGAAAGAAAATCAAATGCAATCTAAGTTTGGAATTGACAGGTAGACAGTAACCAATAGCATTTTATAAATCTCTTCTTTAAAAAAAAAAAAGATTTTGTGTTCCTCATTAAATATTGATCATATAATTCTACTTAAAATCTTTTGTCTTTTTTTTTTTTTACATTGATTCTAGCAGGATTTTTTTCTTCTCATGCACTTTTATCTGTCTTTCTTTTACTTTGTTGTTATTTTGTGTTAAGGATGAAATAGGATTTTACAGGTCTTTTGAAGTGAAAAAGGCTATGGGATTTTGATTCCTACTGTTACCAAGTATATTCGGACAGTAGAAGAATTTATACCTGGGATCATGTTTCATTACAGTTGCCATTTATCTTATTTTCAGTCCAGTAGAGTCTAAATTTCATAGATATGGCTATGGAACTTACTATCATACAGAAGTATCATAAAACTAAATTTCACCTCATCTAGATAGAGAATTTCTGAAGATGGCAGTGGATAAGGCTAGGGGAGAAAAAAGGTATTCTAAAAACAGCACTCAAGCAGATGTCTAAATAAAAAGTTGCTATCCTATAAACGTCGTATCTGATGCTGCCTACTATTCGGGCTACATGAATATCACAGGAATTACAGGTTTTTTTTCACGTTTAAATTGTGAAGACATCTGAAAATTCTGTCTTTGAAGTTCATCTGATGAAATATCTTTAGGCTTTCAAGGCATCACTATAGTACATCACTTCTTAGCTTAGCTAATGAAATACATTCTGTCTAAGTATTTCTACTAATAGTAAAGTCCATTGCATTAGTATTCCATTGTATTCCATTTTATTGGATAATATTCCCTGTGATCTCATATAGCCCAGGCTCCCTATGTGACAGTGAAAACCATCAAACAGAAAGAGAGCAACAAACATGGGAAGAAAATGATGATGAAGAAGACAGAAGATTCTGGGAGGAGCCCACACCATATACTCCAGAATCTAGATTGGAAGCTCACAGATATATTGAAGAAAGGAGAGCTAAAGATAGTAAAAGGTATAGTTTTGTTTTGTTTTTTGAAGATGTGGAATTTTGTAGGCAAAAGAGGTAAGCACTTACCTCACATTGAATGTCACTGAGCACTATCAACTTCATTTCCTTTTGCCTCTGAAAAAACCTTTATAAAATACAAATAGACTGTTCACTTTGTTTCATTTTCTAAGCTGTATTCATAATTCCTGTTATTTGTTTTTCTTCAAATGGTTTATATATATATATATGTTTCAGAAGTAGCATTTCAGGAACCATTTATGTGCATCTTACATTTTTTTTTCACTTATTTTATCCAGGATACCCATCCTGAGTAATAAGATTATTCATATTTTCTATTTTATGCTGAAGATACTTGGCTTTAATATTTTTAAGGTTGCCACTGGTTTTGTCAAAAATTGAGAATCAGTGCAGTCACTAATAAAACAGTTACTTTATTGCTACCGAGTTTAATTCACTTTTATAAACAGAGTACGTAATACCCCACTCCTTTCCTTCCCTCCCTCTTTTCTTCCCTCCCTCCCTCTCTCCCTCTTTCTCTTCCTCTCTCTCTCCCTCCTTCCCTCCTTTCTTTCCTCCCTCCTTTTTCTGTTTCTTTGCTATTTTTAAATAAGCCAAGAATTTTTGGAGGAAAGCAAATTAAGTTTACACGAATAGGACATTTCTTTAGAAATGCTTATGTATACATCAAAGCAAATAAAAATATTGATGGATCATGATTATTGTGGCCATTCATGGCTAGGAAAATATCCATTTTTTTAATTATTATTATTTTTTTAAAAGCAATCCAATGATTTCTTAAAATACACCAGATGAATTTGATATTTTGCTGTTTGATAATAGATACTATATGCAAGATGAAAGAAGTTATTATAGGTGTTATTACAAAGTATTTACTCATAACTGTACTTATTGTACAGTTGGACCTTTCATTTCACCTTTTGTTCCTGAAATAAGTTGCATCTTTAAAATATCAGATATTACTCGGTCTCTTTTTATCCTCTTTTTTGCTATTGAACACAGAAGATGATAATGTGATAAAATATATTTTCTTCCTCCTTTGTTAAGGGAGTCAAAGAAGAAAGAGAAGCCACTTCGGACTTTGATCACCGCAGATGGAAAAGCTCTGAATGTAAATGAGCCTAAGTATGTAAGGAAAATAATGTCATGAAGAAGTAAAGCAGTACTAATATCTTTATAGTTGATTTGGTCTAGTATTTCAATATATATGGCAATACAAAAATAAGATGACTGACAAATTCTAATGTGCGGTATTATATTCCTACTAAGGAGTGATTGAACTGAAGTAATTTTCTTAGCCTAGAAAAAGAATTAATTTTCAGTCATTAAAGTGTTGAAAGGTGTTTATTATCTTCAACTTTGATGATTGAAGAACTTGTTTTTCTCTAAAAAGTGTAAGATATTTTACTCTGTTCCCTTCTATGGTAAGGTTCTCTTTCTTTCAGCATCTTGCTAATAGCGGAAAAAGTTTAACCCGAGTCAGGATGTAGAAGATAAATGTGTATGAGTAGCCACTTTAAATGTGGAAAAATACGTCCAAGTACTATTTCTGGACAAAACTTTCATCTCTTCTGATGACAGTTGGAGACCTGGCAGAATTCAGCACGACACGTAATTCGCTTGCTTTGCATGAGATCTTTCTCTTTTACAATGTGAATGGGGTCATACCCTGTCTCCTGTGTTCTGAATAGTTTTTTCCATCTTAAGACTGCCTTAGCTGCAAAAAAGCAAAGGTAAAAGCATGCTTACTGTTAGTATGAAGAACACTTTCTTTAACTTGGAAGCTTATAAATCCATAAAAATTTAACGGTTTCAAAAGCCTGTCTTATAATACCAATGCTTATTTTTCATTGAGGTAGATAACATTAAAGATGTATCAAAATATGTTTATTAGCAAAATATGTTTATCACTGTACTTGAGTACATTTTTGCAAAAATATCTTGACAGAAGCACAAAAAAGAATAGTCATTTAGAATAAAGCTTTTGTTGGCTCGCTTTAAGAAAAATGATCCCACTGAGTTCATTGTTAACATCTCTACTGTTCATTTCACTTGAGTTTCCTGGATTAGAGTTTACTCAGTGGGTTGTCTAAGTAAAGCCAGGATCATTGAACAGTTTGTACCAATATGGCTGCAACAAGAATATTACAGCTCTTAATTCAGTGCAATCTGGCAGAGTATTGCAGAGACAGGAATTAATGAGTTACTATTAAATGGATGCTGCTCTCAGAAATTTTTGCTTTCTTGTACAGGTCTATTAAACCAGTGTCTTTCTGTAAGTTTACAAAGGGAAAAACTGCATACTACTCAAAAAAGGAGGCTCCTGCTTTTCCTCATTTCTAGCTAAGCTTCTGCCAAGAAAATTTTGCAATTCTCATTTTCACCCTTCATTCTTTAGTGAATTCTCCTCAAAATCTGTATTGTAAGAAAAAGGCATCAATGGGGAAGAAAAAGCTGTTGTGTTATTCTCTTTTGCAGTTTCCATTAAAAATTATAAATTGTAAAGTGAAAGCTCCATAAACTTTCCTGTGGGCTGACTATATCAGAATACAATAAAGAGTAGAGAGTATATGTGGCAAATATTTTTATTACTGAGAAAATTCAGCCAAACTTAAAATCTGAACTAATTTCTGTTATCTGAACCCAAAGTATTGAAGTACTATAATATTCCTGAAATATACTATGTAAAGTTTAGCCTTATTTCACTATAAGAATCTCATTTGTTGATCTCTCCAAGTGTTTCTTAAGCTGGGATTTTTTCTAACACACTGGAAGCATTTGAAGTCCTTTATATACTTTCTCTCCTTACAGTAGATGTGGTTTTCAATTTATAGGGGAGAGAGGTAAGATTCTTTCACAATTTTAAAACTCATCCAGCAGATTATAAGCATATATCTAATACAATCTATGTTTAAAACATGGTTTAAAGCTTGCAGAAAACAAGTATGTTGTTCAAACCATTCTTTACATCAGAAATACACAGTCATACATTTGTGCTATAGACAATTTAATTGCCACGAACAAATATGCAGGTTTTTTTTGCAAATTATGAGGTTCTTCAGTCTAGGAGCTTCATTTTTTTTTTCATGATCTTTCTTTCTGATAGCACTAAAAAACCAACAGATTTCACCAGCAGGTGTCATTCTTTCTGCATTGACAAACTGATTTTAATTAACTCATTTTTGGGACTATTTCTATTTCTGTTCCTGGGGAGTTGACTGGGGAGAACAGAAAATAAATTTTAGACTGAGCCTGATTCAAATGCCAATATATTTTTTTAATTTGTTTAGTAGAATCGCAACTCTTTCTAAAATGATAATATGACATTGTCTAAGTGATATTTATATTAATCCAAAATTGCTAACAGTTTAATTTAAGTGTGCAGTAAATAAGTGTGCAGTAATACTTCTTTGTGCACTCCACTTGTATATATCCTGGAGGTGTTTCTTGTCTTATTAGGCTTTATTTCACTTTGGAAGATGATGAAGAAAACAACCAATTCATCTTGGATCTTGCGGTTTACAGGTCTGAATTATTATTTATTTTTTTCCTTTTCCTTTTTACTGTTCTTAATTTCTGATACTTAATATTTCAAATATACCACTCTTTGTTCACTGGGACTTTGCAAGAGGAGAACAAATAATGTAGTATGTTATAGAACAAGTCTGGAAACCTCTGCAAAAGGAATGGGATTGTATAAACCAGAGACCCTTCAGACTATTCTGTTTTCCTGAGTAAGAATAATTTAATAGTTTGATTTCATAGTTTAATTTCTTGAGTTGGTGTTTGCTGCTGCCCACATGCAGGCTACCTCTGCACTTTCCCATTTAGGTTTACATAAAGTCCCTTCCATTCTTCACTGGCACATTAGGATTATAGAGAATGAGGTTTTATGTTCATTCCCTGGCCCTAGAAGAACTGCTACAGTGACCCACAGTGACCAGGTGGCCTTATCAATAGAGACTGATGGAAAGAGTCTATGACTTATGTATTTTGCAAATCCTGACAGTTTTTTTTGGAAAAAAAATCTGGTTGAACCAGGCCAAAATACGACAGGGGATCCAGCCAACTATTTGAAAGCATAGTACTCTTAAGCAGGACACTACTTGTGCTAAACACTATCATGTCCAAGAACTGGTTAGAAATCAAACAGCTTATTTACACTTAATGAGAACTCGTAATTAAATAAAGTTTCTAGTTTTCTAGAACTAGTTTTCCACCATAGAGACACTCTTCATAATAGGGCTTGCTCTGCTTGAGCTCACTTAATTTCCCTTAAAACAGAGCTGCTCCATTGTTTAGGATTTTTTTTTTTTTAAATTGAAAATTGATGAGTTTTCCTATAAACTAAAGCATTAAATGAATAGCAAAATACTGCTCACTTTTAATGAAGATTTTGAAATCCTGGAGTAATATAATACCCTGAAGTTATATAGTGTATTGATGCACCACTGAGGTAAACTTGACAGAATTTAGACATTATTTTATTTGACATTTTGTCAACAAATATGAAAAGCACTTCCTTCTCACAAAGACTTTAAATTTGAAATTTTAGATTTCATTTAACTTAGTAACTGAAATTGCAGTTTGTAATTTACTTTCTGCAAAAGCATAGTTAAAGATGCATATAGTCTGAACTGCTTATTTGCTGCATTGCATTGTATATTGCAATCATTTATTTATATTTCATTCTAAAGACATCTGGACACTTCTCTGCTTGATGTTGATGTCCAGACAACTTACGTACGAGTACAGGTGAAGGGAAAGGTTAGTGGATTTTTTTTCCTATATTCATTTCAAATTCAGGGTGTTGTGGATTTTGTTATTATCATTGTTTTCTTCTGGCCTCTTCCAGACCTCCAGTGTGTTCCATTGTACAAGAACTGATCTTTGTTCATTGAGGTTTCATGGTATTTTTTAACTGACTTTAGCAGACTTATGATCTGGCTTTTAGTGGTTACTAATCATATACACTGGTGCAGAAAAGATATGCTTTCCTATTGGCATTATTTTGGATCACACATAAACTGGGGAAGTGCTAACCAGAAAGGGTACAAAACCTGAAATAAGATTTGATCCTCTTTTTCTCTCCCCTCTCTTCTTTTTTTTCCCATAACAATGTAGACAATTTTCTTAGGATAAGTGCTTACTGGTTACCCTATACTAGAGTATTGCAATTTTACAATCTGAAATTTATAGCTGGCAGAAATAAATGGATATGGATATATATATATATATATTTAGAAGGGCCTTTCAAACATGATTGGTTTTTTTTCTCAAAGGTTATAATTTTATATTCATTTAAAAGAAGTCACAGTACTAATGTAGTAAACCAAAATCCCTATTTATAACTATACCAACCGCATAAACAAAACTTCAGAATTGCTTTACATCTAAAATAGACTGGATAATCGTTCTCATTTAATTGCTAACATAAGTCAAGTATCATTTTATAACCTTCTTTAGAAATGTCACTTCAGGAATGAGAGCAATTCAAGCATATACATGTACTGTACTTGTAAGTAAAAGCTGCTTAACATGCTAATCATTTATTAGGATTAATAGTAATATATTTAAATTGAGAGGATTTAGACCTGTACTGTGCTAAATATCAAAGTATATGACAGTGATGTTTCTGTATATATTTGTCACGGAACGAGTGGTGGCAGGGGCGAGTGACAAAATGCACTTCACTCAAATAAAGAACTAACAGTATGATTTATTAGTATAATAATGATTTCACGAGATTCTATKGCAAGATCGCTCTATTATTTACTACATGGAGGCACAAGATAATACAGGATTATCTTGGGATACCCTCCCGTTGGGTCACGAGGTTCAGATTGGAACCCCTTGCTTTCCAGGCTCCTTCTGAGAGGAGTCTGGGTGCGGCTGGATCCAATCTTAGTCCCAGACCTGGTCAACGGTTTATGACTGAGGGTGCTTATGTTACAAAGTAAAGTTAAAGAGAGAGAGAGAGAGAGAGAGACAGAGAGAGAGAGAGAGAGAGAAAGAGCGCTATATTCACTTACCACAAATCTGCGATGGAAAGGAAGATCTCTCGAGGAACCTCGAGGAGTAACCTTGAGAGGCGTCCCTGCCCAAGGGGAGATCCTGGTGTGCAGGCCGCAGCCGTGTCAGGAGAGCTCAAAGGGGCTCTCAGGCTGTCCGAGTATTTATGGAATAAGATGATTGGCTTGTAGTCATATTTTTAACTTCAAAGACTTAGGTTAGTGTGTCGGCCTTATCTCCCTGTTTACGACACAGCCTTGAGGACTGTTTTTGTTAAGTCTCAGTGAGAACAGAAATCAGGACGATGGCGCCTGCCAGAATTAGATTGGTCGCTGGTGGTCAGCAACAAAACAGGGCTGCATGTAAAGTACAGGCCAGGATGAGCTGGGAAAGGAACGTATCCGTCACAATGTTCTCTTCGGGTCAGTTAAAAAAAAAAAGATTAGTAATAGGTTGCACTTCACTCTTTAATTTTTTTTTTAGCTGTTTCAGCTTGTGCTCCCTGAGGAAGTGAAACCGGACAGCAGCTCTGCTAAAAGATCACAGACAACTGGGCATTTAGTCGTCAGCATGCCAAAGGTATGTGAGAGAGGTGTCATGCAAAGGTACTTGAAGTGTTGAGAGTACTTTGGAGGTATTTCTGAGTTGTAGATAGCACCTGTTGATGCTCCAAATTTTGCACTGGTTTTAAAAACTACCCGTATAGACGGGACACAGAGATATATGCTCATTATCAACATATCCACACTTCCTGGATCTGCTGACCTAAGATGCATATATCTTACCTTGCTGCTAACTAAGTGCCACTACTAAGGTTTCACTTAGTAGGTAAAGTGACAGAATCTGTTCCCTTTCTCTAGAATTCAACAGAGTGAACAATTGATATTTTTGAGATTCCCATCATTTTCAGTCTCTGATCTATCACAGAAAAAACACTGACATTACTAATATGTATTCTAGGAAGCTAAATATAATGAATAAAGATTAGCAAAAACTGAAAGGCCAGTAGTTATTTTTCTTGCAAAGCATTGTGGCCAAAACTATCCGGAGTGGTTGAGAATGCTAATTTGATGTTATCAACTCAATATTCTTTCAGTTATATGATAGAAAATCCAGGTTCATGCAAGTTCTTTCACGATCATGTATCAGTGATAAGACAAGCCTAATTTCTCCATTCTGTTATGTTTAATCTTTCTTTTCCTGATAACAGTTATTCTCAAAGTTGCTTGCAGCTAGATAAATTCCTTCACATTCCTTCTGTAGCTGAAATTTTAAGAATACTATTAACTTAAAAATAGGCTTCCATATTAAGCTTTCTGCAGTACTACGAAGAGACTCCCTCTTATCAGTAACAGAACAAAAACTAATCGAATCMCTTGAGTATTTTCCACTTATTTCAGTGAGTTCCTGAGCAAGTTGCTAACCCTTTCAAGATTCATCTTACAATCTGTTCATAGTTGCCTTTCTTTAAAATGAGAAACAAAATCTCTTTTCTTGTCTCTCTGAACCTGCTATACCATAGATATTTAGGATAGTAATTTCCAAGTGAAATAAATGAAATTCATTGCAGAATTGTTGTCTTGTTAAGGCTGTCCCTTCCAGAATTTTTGGAAGGTCAGCAAAACACATGCAAAAGATGCAACATTTAGTGAAATTAAATAGTGCCATTTTTCAAGTGCAGTATTTACACTGTAGTAATCTTAAAATAATAAGTTTAAAAATACTGTTTTCACAAATTCCTTCTATTTTCTCAAATATATTACAGCTTGTATTCAAAAAATTGATCTCTATAGTTCTCTGGATTATGTTCTTATGTGTTCTYCTTTCTATTTCCAAATAACCCACATAGCTGTAGTTTCAAAGAATTTATATCAGAAAGTTTCATTATATTTATATATTCTCTCTTCTTATATATCGCAAGCCTTAAATTTCATTCAGTTATTCTTCTGTGGAGCCTGAGGTCTTATATTTGGCCACAGTTGAATCTACAAAAGTTCTGTTTTTGAGGAACAGTTACTCTCACTTGATCTAACTCACTAAGAGACGGACAGTCAACCCATGTCTTTGAAGCTCRTATGTCTTTGATGCACGTTGGAATGTGCTTCACAGGCGAGARAAATGATAAAACGTCACTTAAAATTCCTCTTGAATTTCTTGTCTTTTGAATAGAGACAGTAGGACATCTTTTGAGCCAAAGAGGTTGTGAGTGAAATGACACTGGATAATTGATAATAGGTGCTCTGGTAGGCAAATCCTGCCTAGTCTACCACTTCCAGGATCACTTCTTGTCAAGGAGGCCCTTTCAATAGATTGCAGAATCAACAGGTTTGCTCAGCATCTTTGACAATGTTCTCTGACAGCAAAGAAAGGAACATTATTTTGAAGGTGATCAAAGAAATAAATCACTCATAAGAGCAGAATATTATGGGGTGATATTCTAGTTGGAACTGGGAACTTTATAGGTGAGTTGTAAGAGAATACATCTAAATCAATTGTACTAGAAACAGTACAATGGACTTTAGATTCAGTTTTAGTAAAAGCAGCTGAAGGAGGTTATGGTCACTCAGGTCTTTTTATAAGGAGTGAAAGAGGTTCATAGGGCAGCACAGACTTTCACATTAATCTTCAATGAAAGGGTCTGAACAGGGATGCTAGAACTGAAATACAAGTGTGAAGTACATCATGAGCAAGTTATCTACTGGGAGAATAAAGTGCATTATTAAAATGTTACTAAAAATGACAGCATATATTCATGTACTTATGTATATATATTCATATATATATATACACACATATCTGTATATACATGTGGTCATTAAATAGTTAAATATAACTTTATTGACATCACCTGGTTAAAATTGCCTTATGCAATGAGTTGAGTGAGGAAGCATCAGGAAGGGTTAAAGACCTAACAAAATAAATGTCAGAAGAGAATTCTTGTTTTTTACACCCTGTTTATTTTCTATTTTTAAAAGATTATTTAAATGCTAATGACCCTAAATCTCATTTTTTTTTCTGTGAGAATTTGAGAATTGTGGCTGTGTATTTTTATTTTAGGCTAATGGAATAATCCTGGCTAGGCAAAAAGTGTCAACTTCAATCAAAACGTCTGACAGTACAGCGCAAAAAAATACAAGAAGGTAATTCCATTTTTGCTTTTCTGATAGTTTCCCTTTTTTTGTACCTTCTTTATTCACTTGGCAGAATTGGGCTGCTTATTGAGTAAGTTATTGTTGGAARTTTGAAAATATTGATTTATATAGAGTAAATCTATGTATAAGAACCTTGGACTAATGGCTTGTCTAATACTTTATAAAGTTATCTGATCCAATAGCAAAGCCAAAAAAGTACTTATATCTGCAATCAGTTTTGTTCTATCAACTCATTCAGATTATTAGACTAGAATACACCAAATCCAAATCACCTACTGTGAACTGCATCTGCAGGGCTCCTTGCTGTGTAGCCCAAGTCTCAAAAATGTTTAGAAAGCAACAGTTTTGAATCTCTCACATGATTTTTTTGTATCTTTCTAATGAAGTGGTCACTGCTAAAGTATATCAGTTGAGCCATTGCACTAATAACTGGGATCAAAAWGCAGTTTGGCAAGGCTATATAACATAGGTCCATCCTCTTAAATGAAATGCAAACTCTAGCTCTTGGAAGTCTTCAGCTGGTTATTGCCAGAAGAAAGGAAGTCTTAAGGATGGGCTATTTGTTATTCTTTATTCCTAGGAAATGGTACTGGCCATTGCTAGAGACAGACACTGAGGCAGATGGGTACCTGGTCCGAGCAGATAATACACATTCTAAACTTTTTCCCTTTTTCTTACTTAAAGCGATGGCATTCATACCAGAACAAGCTATAGTAACAGGTAAGTTTGTTAAGCTCTAATGTTTGAAAGGCTGTATCTGTTTCCTTGTTTGATTTTGTCGTGGTACATACTAATGGAAAAACTAAATAGTTAAAATTGAATTATGGGTCATAAAGATTCATTTTGGTCTCATGATTTAGGACTCTTAACCAAGTGGCTATCCAAGAGTCACTTATGTCATTATTTCTATTTTTTTTATTTTCTTATTTTTTAGAAAAAATAGCAGCCCTTCCATCTTTTCCTTGAATGACCTTCATGTTGAGGTAATAGGGTACTGCAAGGATTTGTGAAGATACTGCTAATGACACAAAATCATTGCACCCTTGATTACAATTACTTCTTGATTACTAATGATTTCTAGTATATTTTAAACGGTCCAAGACAAAGTAGTGGATACTTACTTTTCAAAAGCAATGACTRTTCCTAGCAGAATTACAGCTAAAGTCTTAGAAATATCTAAAGAAATCAACAGCACTCTGAGTTTTTCTGCAAGGGAAAACTAGATATGCCCTCTTTAGATACCAGACATGATCTATATTCCAAACAGTAAAAACTCTGTCAAGTAGTGAGTGATATCTGCTAGGCACTCTGCCTTTAGTTTTATCTACAAAGTAAATAATTACAAATAAGTAAGAATGGGGACAAGTTCCCTTTCCTGCTAACTGATGATCTAAAGCTGCTCCATGGCATAGCAAAAAGACAAATTCTTGTATTTGACTTCATTAGTTTTGAGCAATTAGGAGCTTGCTTACTGAAATTTTATTAAATATTAGRGGAATATACATTACAAAAGCAGAGATGGGAAAGAAGTATTCTGAATTACAGATCTTACTAAAAATAGTAAGTTTTGACCTCTTTAGCTGGATAATCACTGACTAGACATGTTAAAATTTGTTGAAAAGTTGTCTCTCAGATTACAGAAGAACATTCATTACAGTGATTTCACTTGACAGTTACAGATGTTTTAGCTAAATTTTCCGACAGACATTTAATCTATTAAACTATGATGCAACACTTTAAAGCTTTTAAATTCTTGTTAGCTAGATTACATGATGATACTATTATTACTTCTGCCACGTAAAAGAGATTCCTTCAATGATTGTCTTCTAAACTATTTCAAATTTTCAAAGACATACATTACCTTGGAAGGAATTTCACATGTTGATTTATAAAGCTGTTATTAATGTTCCCTGTTATTAATCCCTGTTATTAATATTCCCTGTGCCACATGCACTAGGTGACCCTGTGTGTGCAGGGGGGTTGKACTAGATGACCTCTGAGGTCGCTTCCAACCTTAAGCATTCTATGRTATAGTAGCTGTAAATGCCATCATCTTTACGTGCCTTCACAATTCATCTGGAAGGCAGAAAGGCTGAATTTGCCACAGTTTTACAGGCAAAACTCAAATATAGGAAAGAATTGGCTTTGGAAACTGGAAATTTTACAAAGTAAGCATTATGTGAAGTTGATAATACTTGTCTTATACTCTAATCTTCAYATTATTCCTCCTTTCTCATGTTGGGAAATAAAAAAGAAAACATAGATGAAACTCAAACTGTCTCTAAATGTATGTTTTCAAACACTGGAATTCTTCCAGTAAAGAAAGAAGGAAAATAAAGGAGATGATTGCTTTTTCTCTGTTTTTTATTGTAATTCTTCACATACAGAGGTAGAGAAATACAGCAGAAGCATCTTATGAGTTTGTTTAATGAGACAAAGGATTTCATAGACACAAAATAAAGAATAAATCAGCAAGTTCTGGTCTATGCATAGCTCTTGCATTGAGCAATTGAGGCATGTAAAGCAGAGCTTTTTCTACTGTTTTCTATTCAAATAGTTTCTCCTCCTTAGCTAAGCAAGATTGCACTGGTTAACTAATCTATCGGCATCTATACACAATAAAGCATAACACGTTAAGTTAGAAATGTAGTTTATCTTCCTTTAGAATGGCTTCTTASTGTCAGAATGTAATTTATGGCTTTTTTGTTTTTCTTTTATACCTGAATTCTTAGGAAGGGGAAAAAAATCTTATGCTACCGGAACCTCCACCTCTCTGTCTGTCAGTACATCCATAATTCAAGCAGGTTATCCAATTTCAGCCATTRTCTGGCTAGCCAGGAAAGACATCAAAATATAAAATTTATGTTGCTTTCATTGAACTCAAGGCCAAGAAAAAATGGATATTTTTAATCATTTTATTGGGTTTTAATTTTAACCTTTGTCTATATGCACTCAGTGATAGTATTTCCTTTGTGGGTTACAATTTCACAGTGATGTACAGGAATTAGTTTACTTTGAAGAATTATTGCTTATTTTTAGTTCAKCTGTTTTTCATTTATTGACAAAAACAGGGCTGATTATTTCAAAAACTGTTTCCTCTGTCAAAAGAAATGATTGGAAATGAGACATAACAATCTGGAGAGAACATAGAATCATAGAATCGTTATGGTTGGAAATGACCTTCAAGATCATCAAGTCCAGCTATAACATGATGTTGCAAAGATGCAAGCAGTAGAATAAAATGAATGTCTAAAGATTGGAAATGTGAGATAAGGTGGAGTCAGAACTTGAGTGGAGAGGTAAACACACACACAACAGAATAGCAAGAGGATTTACCTGATCTTCAAAACCAGAATTCAGCATCACTTCTGCTTCTACACTGAACGTAAATATTTTAACTTGAAGAAAGCTAATATCTGAAATCTGACCTCAAAAGAGCTGAAAAAATATGTGGAAGGAGCACAGATGGCAAATCCATTATTTGTCCTAATGACATGCAATACGTGGTCTTTATAAGACTTGGCAGTAGATAGCAATTCTGTGAAGCTGATCAGCATTACAGAAATGCTTTTAAGGCTATATAGCTTGTTAACTGCTAGGAAGACATGAACTTTCACTATGCAATTTATGTTGCTTGAGAAGGGAGTTCAGCTGACCTCTTGTTCAGGAAGTGGGTTCAGGTATAAGCAACATATTAAAGAGGCTTTTTGCCTCAGTTAGGCTTAAAATGTAGTTTCATCTGCATTCTCATAAAAGACCAGAACTAACCAAAGTAGATGGTCTACATCTGTTTGATTAATGACAAAGATGAGAGGTGCAGCACCTAGAAGAAAGATGTGAAAATTCATTTACATCACAAAGATCTGCTAATCCATAATCATAGTAAGAGTGAGAAGGTTTTAAAATAAGGAAAATGCTCTTGCATTTTCAAGAGCAGTGGTGAGTTAAAAACTTTGATTACTACAACTCAAAGTCATCTTGAATAGTCCTTAGCTGAATAAGACAAAAGTTCAAGGGCAGGTATATTCACCTCAGTAATGTAAAACCTGAATCTCACTGTAGAAATGACCTGTGGACAAAAGCACAAAGACCTATAATTTACCTTCCTTTGCTTCATCAAAAAAAGCCCTTCAGCCTAGAAAAGAAAACAATTCTAAATTTTTACAGGCCTTTTCATAAAGATCTCATTTGTCTCATCCTGTATTAACATATCCAAAAATGATAATCTGAAAATGCAATCTTCCAACAAGTCAAATTAGAAATATATACAGAATATACTTATCTGTATATATATACATGACGAAAACACTTTCTTTCTGGATACCCAAATCCATGTTGCTTGATTCTCAGTCTATCCTGTTGTTAGTCAGTGATAGACACTTGTAGATAACATGTGCTGATTAAATTGAGTGACTGATGTGTATAATCCTTTCTTAGATTCATGACATGGCCTGATGCTAGCAACACTCACTGTTAATTAGTTTCTTTTGTATCTAAGTGTATTCTGCTAGTAAGCCATAAGCTATTCAAATTGCATAAAGTTCATTGTATTTTGATGACTAGTAATTTGTAAAATTTCAGAGCTGTTGAACAAATGCAAGCTATCACTAGTAATTAAGATACATCAAATCAAGGAAAATATTTTCTACCATGTGACTGAAGCACATACTGAGGCTAATTAATTTTCATATTTATGCTTTTTTAGCTTTAGAGCTAAAAAAGGTACCTCAGAGTAGCAAGTTCACACATCTCAGAAGCATAAGGTGCTGGACAGAGCACATTCATTTCAAAGCCTCCCCAATAGCTACTAATAAAGTGAATCAAGGCCATAGCACGTTTCACAAATTATACAAAAACGGAGAAACAAAAAATTACTGCCTCTTGGGAATGAACATTTTCCAGAATATTGCCACAAAGTGAATCCACTTCTATTTCAATAAAAAGTCTAGAACAGTAAAAAATTGAAGAACATGCAGGGTGACAAAATAGGAAGAGTTGTCTTGCATCTTTCGTCATTAGCCCTAAAATTMTCTTCTGAGTAGTTTTCCTTTGTGCAAATTGTGGTAGAAGGTTATCCAGATTATGAGAACAGGAGGGCTTCTCCAGCTGTCTCCTGCTCAACAAAATGAACAAATAATTCCCTTGGCATAAGAAGAAAGGCTGACAGAGGCAGTTAGGCCGATTCAGCCTCTCTGCCAGACCCATTTCCTTCGTTACGGGCATGGCAGGAAGGAAGGAGACCTGCCATGAGTCCCTCTGCCTCTCTGCTCTGCTGGGACGGAGATCTTGCGTGCCCAGGATGTCAGGCCAGGCCTCATCAGGGCTTCATGGGGAGACACTGGCAGCCTTGGCAAAGCTCCCTGGCAAAACTCGTTGTTCTAACAACCAAAAGGAGTGTATTCCCAGGCGTTCTCCTCAAAAAATATTTTATTCAGCTAAAAAGTTATATACGGTTTATATATTTTATATATTTGCATCAAGGAAATGTGTTTTTTTTTTCATTCAGCAGCTTTTGCTATATTTTACTTTGTTCCAGTCTTATTGAACCCTTCTGATCTCCTGGTGCAACATGTAGTTTTCTCGTATCTTTGATGAATGATGCACTGTCTTTTGTAATCCTGAATTTAGAACTTTGASCTAATCTATCACACATCTTAAAAAAATGATTAAAAAAGAATACTGTGATGTACAAATCATGTTGGAATTTGCCAAAATTAGAACATCATTCTACAATTACATTTCCATTTTTTTTCTATAAACAGTTGCAAATTACTTGAAAACATGTTTTTTTCCATGAAAATGTTTTAGCTCCTCTGTTAGAGAAAAACAGTGGCTATAAATGCTGCAAGTAAGTATAAGAACATTTAAAATCTGATTATGTTGCAATATCGGTTGCCCTATTGAATGGATTGTACACAGCTTTCAGTGAGATTTAAAAGAATATCCATAGCATAGTTTGAAACAGGAAATTCTGTTATAATTCTGACCTTGCTTTAAAATTTGCTCATCATATAAAGACTTTAGGCTTCATAGTGCCAAAATGTAAGATTTAGCTGATACAAGGAAATAGGAGAATTATATTTTCTCTCTAAATAAAGATGCATTTCTGCTTTTATAGTTTTAATCTGTAGAGATTGATAAATAGTTCCTGTGAAGGTACTGAGCAGAAAATGAGAGCCAGAAAGAAAGAAAAGATAACTATGCTCCAATTTTGTCTTGCATCAGAGGCTAAACATCTGTAATGTGATACTAGCAATCACCATCTTTTGAATTAAAACAAATCATAGAGGCAAAATAATGGTATATCAGTATTGCTAGGCTAARGTTCATTTTCTACCAAATCTTAAAGACTTCTCTGTTTGCGTGAGTTTCTGTTAACAGTCAATTTGCAATTAATAAAATTTCTTAGTCCTTCTTTAATTGCACTCAACCATTGTGTCTTATAGTCAAAGGGCTTATAAAGAACCTTGAAAATAATGTGGTTAAATTTAACATTGAAATTAAGTATTTTCCATTTGTTTCCCTCTTGTTACAGAAGTGGACAAGTTGAGAAATTAGAAGTGGATCCTAGTAGATACTCATTCCCTGATGTGACAAAGATAATCCAAGAGAAGGAACGAATTGGACAGGGACCTATTAGTTTTCAACCAAGAAAGATTACAGAGAATAAGAAGAGTTATGTTGATGTTGAAAATGATGAAGATGTTCCACCCTTAATTTGAAATGTTCTCAAGTCGTTCCTTTTGTATGTGGCCAATATCCCTGAATTGTTTTCATGACTATATGTAATATAAGCATAATGTATGCTGAGGTGGGAGAATATTGCTGCAGTTCTTATCATAAACTTTGTTAAATTTGTGTTTTTTATAGCTTTTTCTGTTAATATATTGCTTCTATAAATTCTGTGTTCTAGATTGTTTCCTTAATAGTTCTTAAATCAGAATGGGGCTATACAAGTCACATACTGTCACTGCTGCACAGAATTTAATGTCTAGCTTAAAATATGACATTTTATTGTAGAAAGAAAAATATATGATTATTTTGACTAAACTGAAGCTACCTGAAATCTCTTATCCCTTCCTTCCTTCCTTCCTTCCTTCCTTCCTTCCTTCCTTCCT